AAATAAATACAAGAAAACACTAAGAAAGTTAAGAAAAACAATAAGTATCATTTATTGCGCTTAAGCTGCAAGTAAACAGCACTCAATATATAAGTTCAAAATGAAGAATAAAACAAAGAAAAATAATAGACATATGAAAAAAAGGGGGTGGGAAATAATAAGTAAGTAATAAGTAATTTCTTAGTGTTTTCTTGTATTTATTTATTTATATATATATATACTAGCTGACCCGTCAAACGTTGTTTTGCCGTATGAATTATTTCTAGCGTATAAAAATATACCTTATTTATTGTAAGTGTGTGAGTATGTGGTATATGAGTGGATGAGTGGAAGAGACATGGAGCGCTGTGAACGATGGCGGAATGTGAAGATAACAACAAGCCAAAATAAAAAAAAATTTAATTTATGTTAACTTTTTATATAAATTATATATACAACGAATTCTGAAAATATTAGTCAGCAATATTAATCTCTTAAGTGCAATGAAGTGTACAATATTTTTTGTCGTTCCATCTTTAGCTAACATAAATAAACTGGATGGTTTGCCCACTCGAGAGTTGCCACGTATAATTATCCGAGAGAAAAACATGGTGTGCTCAAATAATTCAATTGAATTTTTTGAAAACACAAAACAGTCAATGCTAATGGAAAGTCGTTTTAAAATGCTAGCAGCAATGCTATTTATTAAAAGTTTTAGAAAAATTTCGTATAGTATAGTATAATAGTAGTATAGTATTAGACCTTGGAGCAAGAGACTGTAAATTGTCATATTTCGTGAGAATCACCCATATAACAAACAAACGAGTACGAGTAAACTTCAAATAAACGAGTCAAAACATAGAAATTTGTTTTCGACACGAATTTTTTTACTTACCTATTATTATTATATGCTTCATTTATACTCACTATTTCTATCATCCTATAAATGTACTGAACTAAGAATTTATTTTTTGACAATTTTCTGTTTTTTATTAATGCTTTATTCGAAGTAAACATTTTACTCAATAGAAAGAAAAAACTGTCAAGTGACTTGAAAGATAAGAAAATGGAATACTTTTTGGACAGCTAAATTCTCAAAGGCCAACTTTTATCCATCTCTGAATAATTTATAAGTGGTATTTGATCTCACTAAACTAATATAAAATTGTATTTTAAGTAAAAAGTAAAATCTTTCTAAACGCATTAGTTTTCTTTTGGTGGCTTAAAGTTGTTTTATAATGGAAGTTATCTTAAAACAATCAAGTTCCACCTTGATTTTTCGTTATATTAAAAATATTTTAGCTCTTTTTAAAGCTTAAGAAAATTTACCCACTTATTTTTTAACCCCACTTTTACTTAAGCTTTAAATTAAAATAAAAATTTATCTGATACCATGTATTGATATCATGATACCATTAAAGTATCATGTTTTTGTAATTGATATTTAGTTATATCGGTATCAGTTTGTAAACGATACTTCACTATTTTTTACATTTTACAATGTGAGATCAAAAAAATAGTTTCAGTAAATCACTATCAATTATTTTTCCTATCATACAAAATTTATAACTAAAATACCAAACATTGGTGTTTATTTTAAATCATTATTTTCTATTTTATTTTATTCAAACTAAATATAGAAAGAAATAATAATCATGGATAACGTTTATCTCTTCAGATGCAGGTTTGAATACATGCTTCTCTTAATTTGTTTATATATACTATTTTAGTTGAATTTATTATATTATATTGAAGTTATTATGCTATATTATTAATTAATTAATTATATATTGATTTTCTCTCTAATATACCAAATGAAGATTGATTTCTGGTTTGGAGCCATATTACTTTAAAACTTTACTGGTAGCTTTTCTCTTCAAAAGCTTTTAGCTTTTGGTAGCTTTTCTCTACTAAATCTCAAAAAACCCTCTACAAAAGTAGATTTCTCGCCGTACTAAGATTTTTTAAAATATACAACAATACGGGAAAAAAATTTGTGAAAAGCATTTTGCAGTGAATATTTCCATATTCTTATGAAGTATAACATATTTTGAGTCTTAGGAAAATTATCATTTTATTTTTATTTCGTTTTAGCAATTTTTATACCTTTTAGATACTAACTGAATAAAAAGCTGAGTTTCTTTTATTCCAAAAATGTAATGTTTGTTATCATTTAATGTAAAATACCACAGTGTAAAAAATTCCAAAAAAATTTGTGGTTTAAAGTACCGGCACTTTGGATGCATCCTTCGTAAAATCCATTTTACCGCAAAATCCATTTTCATCGTAAAATATTATACCGCAATTTTTACAGTATTATTTAGTTAATTAGATTGATTTTGAGTGGAAAATTGTGGTGCATCAAATCTTTTGCTCAGTAGCATGTTCCGGTAAAAATAAATTTTACGATAAAATGTACCGACAACTTTACTTTGTTTGGTAATTTGATGCGGAATTTTTTACAGTGCAGGGCACAGTATCACTTTGTTTATAATAATGACCTTTTTGATTCAAATATGACAAACTGCAATTCGGCTGCAAATATGATACGAAAAAAAAGTTTTTTATCACATTTTACCAAGCATTTATCACAAACAATGAGCGGATTTAAAACTGAATGAAACATCAAAATATTATGCCTTTACAATGTTTACCAGCAATGTTATTTTCGCACCTATATTTTCAATTGCGCGCCATGCTTTGAAAAATAAGGTCATTAAATAAGAAAGATTATTTTTTTGTATATTATTTTATAATAATTGCATACGTCACCTTAAATGCTTCTACGATAACGTTTCATAATTTTAGAAAGAGAGCTATTATTTTCACATTCAGATAGTTCGAACTTTTTCCTGCGCCTTAAAAAATTCAACTGCGTGCTTAAAAAGTTTTGAGTCTTGAAATACTTTCTTCAAATCATTTTATAAACTTTGCCGAAAGTATCTCAGCATCTTAAAAATCCTTTACTGCAAGAAAAATGTAGTCAAAATAAATATGTAAAATTTGCGAAGCAAAAATTTTACATATTTATTTTGGAAAACTTATCTTATTTTTATTGGAAATATTAAATTTTTTAATAGGGTCTCGATTACAATCTAAGCAATTAAATGAAGAAGTTATGTAATTTTGCATTCTTATTCTAAAAAAAACTACGAAAATTTTGAGATTTTAATCGAAGCAAAATTCAGTGTAATTGTAAATGTATATATTTTTTTTAAGAATAAACTTCATTTTACGATGAATTGAATATACACAATTATTTTACCTTGTTGGCCATTTTACTTAACTTTAGAAAGAATTTCTTTCTTACATTTCACATTATCTATAATAATGAAAAGGGGAGGTTTTTCTGTGTCTCTCTTAAAACTCCGATACCGTTTGTTCTAGTGTCTTGAATTTAGGACAATGGATTCAAGATGGAATTTTAATTGCATATAAAAATTTCAAATTGTTCATTACTAGAAAACAGTTCAAAAATGATTTTTTCTCATAGGTTAAGCAATAAACGTCGTTATAAATTAAACTTTAGATGATTTTTCTTTCAAATATTTTTGATAGGTCAAAACTCCATTCAATGAAGTATGAGTTTCTTCATGTTCTTTAACATTTAATTGTTTTTCATTCGTAACGTCAGGTAGTCTCAAGTATCAGCGGGAATGGCATGAGGAAACTAAATCACCAAATTAGAACTTCTAAGATATTCTGTTACATATTTATTTTGTGTTGTTAAACCTTTGAAGAGTTTAAGTATAAAACTAAGTATTTAAAATGAATGGTTTTTGCAACTGTTATTGAAAAATTAGTTACGTATTAAAGTTTTAAATTAATGGAGAAAAAGTTTCACAAAACTGTAAGAAATTATCACACTATTTTTATACCTAATTTCACTTTGGTATTACATATTATTGGCGGTGTGGTAATAGTTTTTTTTAAAGGGTAACAAATATGCTGTGCGAGTACTGTGGTCATAAGCTTTTTACGCCTCCTCAAGAGTGATATGTAACGGAAAAATTTACTTAATTGCTGTAAAGTTTGGTAAATTTGGGTTAACCATGAGCAATTGTTTTATACTAAATGATACTGCGAATAGTTAATCTTGGTTGATGGGATGAATTTTGAAAAACTTGTTTTTCCTCATTTAATAACATAAATTCACTGAGAAAGACTATAAATAATAATAAATAAGCGCAAGTTTTCGAATTATGTTTGCGTAATTAATAATGTTGGTATACGTATTTTAGTGCATGATTTTGTAGTGTCGGTTTTACTCCGAAGAGCGATTATACAACTAGTTAAATATGTGCGGATCAAATTAAAAAGTTAATTAAAAAAGCCCTGTATTTGAAAAAAAAATATTGCAACAATTATTATTTAGAAATAACATATTCTTTATTTTTCACAAATATTTTACATTTAACGTAACATTACATGTACTCTTAAGATGAGACGACAGTTTCAAGGAATTTAAGTGAAGTAAAAACAGTAAAAACAATCTTGAAACATATTAAAACATATGTAATAACATGACTAGAATCTGTAAATGGTGAGCAATTTCATAACAATACGTTTATGGTCAATAAGAGACATCAGCTCATAAATAGTTAAAGTGAAATATCATTGACATAGTAACAAAAATTCTCATACACATTGTAAAATAAAAAAAAAGCAAAATGATTAAAAGTTCAATTCTTGAATTGATTTTCATAACAATAATAGTTTTGAGTGCCGTATGAAAATTTATACGATACATATATGCTCAATAAGAGAAGACAGTTCATAAGTAATTGAAGTTACGTATCATGAACACATGAAAAAAAACCTGAAACATGTTATAAAATAAGATACAAAAAAAAATTAGAAATTAAACTCTTGAATTAATAAGAAATTTCATAATAATTACGACACTTAAAAGTGTCATTTACAAGTATGTATGCTTCAGACGAGACGTCAGTTTTAAAGGAATTGAAGTTAAGTATAATTAAAGCAGAATCTTGGAAATTTCGATTGCAGGGTGTATAATTTAAGCACAAGAACTTTAACTCTTGAAATGGTGAAATAAATGCTTTTGTATATCACATACAAATCAGTTGTTCGATAAACTACTAAAAAAACAGTAGTTTGAACTGCATTACTGTATATTTTCTAAATTATTTTTTACTTTTAATGATGTTTTTCATAAAGATAGATTTTCAGCATTATTCCTCACATACAGATATTATTTATTAATCGGTCAAACTATTGAACATCTCTTATGAGTAACAATTTTTTCTGATAGATTAATTTCCGTATAATTTAATTTAATATGATCATAAAGCGTTATTTACTATTTATTTTTATACAAACATTTTTTTAAGAAATTTCCTTAGTATAACTTGAAAAGATATCAATCATACATCCTTCATTTCGTTAGTTATTGAATGTGTGAATGTTAGTAAAATTTTCAATCACATTTTTTGTAACATTTTGATATTCATAATTTTTTCATCCATTTATAATCTTTTAGTCTTCCTCTAAACTTAATTTTAAGAACACTTTATTCGTTTAAGGATAACCGGACATTAAAACTTCAAAGACGGTCAATAATCAATGCCTCTTTTTATAATAAAATTTTAATAACTTAAATAATAACATTTCATCAAAACACTTCAATTAACTTCAAGCTTAAATATTTAATTGCTTTAAACAATTTTTGAAATACTATATACTATATTAAATATGATACATTTTTACAAATAAAAGCTCGATTTGTTTAAAATATTTTTTTCTTACATTTCAATATTTTTTCTTTATATAATATTATTTTGCCAAACACATATTTCGTGTGTTCACTTGAAGAACATTTCTTGACTTTAAACCTGTAAAAATAAAAGTACACACCTGAAATCGAGATGTAACACATGTATGAAAAAAACTTGAAACATGAAATAAATAATGAAGATAAAATTCTTGATATATATACTTATCTGGGATGGAAATAATATTAAGAATATTTAATTTTTCTTTGCTAACAATTGCGGGTTCTCAGTGCGTAATTTGACGTTATGTGATGTAACTTTATTGTGTGGCCAGCCCCTCTTTTTTTAGTTTGGAATAAATTATTTAAATAAAAGAAATTATGAAAGGAAGATTTACCTAAAATTAGAGGTTGAATGTACTCAAAAACTTTATTCAGGGAAAGTATTTATAAGAATTTATATTCCAAAAATGCGGGTCGTATTAAACAAATTAAAATTAAAATTAAAAACAATAAAAAAATTTTAAAAAATTTATTTCATCAGAATCATTACAATTACTTCGCGTTTCAAAACATTTAGAAACTTACAATTACGAGCTCCGTTGAAATTACTTGTTCGCAGAACTGTAAGAGTTACGAGAGCAGGTAATCACATGACTAGAACTCTATATCAATATTTTTCGTTGAAAAAATTTAAATGCGTAAATGGTGCTGCCCGAAAACATGCAGCAGGTAACAACACCAATCCATTTTGCAGTCAGGCCGTCAACATTGAGAGCTTAAATAGATGAACGGTGACCCTCATGGTCACCATTAGCTTCTAATGACAAATAGATGCGTAGTGCTATGATTACTATCGATTGTTTTCGCAATCGCATCTCATCACGCAAACTCAATTCTCAACACTTCATCAACAAATTCATCATCGATTTACAGCGTTGGTTTGTGTGTAACTACCACTAAGATTATTTAGTACGAAATCTTTAGTATATGAGGCATGTTAACTTAATTTCATCTCGAGGTAGTTTTTGATAGATGAAAGTTGACATGGTCGTAAGCATACTCTATCCCAACATTGGTGTCCCGGACATGACATGAACTCGCCAACATTGATGGATGATCCACATCGATCAGTTGATCTGCGCACAAACTAGCACTCAGAAATCAGGCGAAATAAATACAACTCTCCCGGAAAATAACCACAAAAAATATAAATAAATTAAATTAAATAAAGGTGCGAAAAAATAAATAAAATTATAATGAAATAAATAAATAAATAAACGGCATTAATGTATGTGCACTAGTGATTCATCGAATTATATCACAGATAAAATTCTGGTGGAGGAGCAATATGGCGTAACTATCACTAAGATTATTAAATGCCAACTCCCTAGTATAAGACATGTTAACTTGATTCCATCTTGAGGTATCTCTTAATAGATGAAAGTTGATACGGTCTTAAGCATACTGTCTTCCACAGGTTAGCCTAATTCAACAATAACGAGAAGACCTTGAACAAAGTTTTAGAGCGAAACGATTTGTAAATGGACTAACCGAAACAAATATAGTGCCCGAGTCGGGTTTGAGAATTTCGAATAAACCTTGGGCTTTGTATTATTCCACAACATAAAGGACAAATTATGAGATCATGAGTTCGATCTTATTCGAATTCCATTTAGTTGCCTAAAATGGAGCACCAGCATCCCCATTGAATGATTTTCTGAAACTAACCGGAATCTTTTAGCCAAATTACTTTTAGAATTACTTACCAAAATACTTTAGAGCTTTAATAATTAGAATTTCTTTGACATGGCTTGATACCTGACTTACTATCTGTTTCTTGTTAATAAATTATAATCCGCTCTATGAGCTTATTTGTATCACTATTTCCTAAACCATTTATAAGTATTAAAATTTTAGCATGTAACCATTTTAGTTCATTAGAAATATAATGTAGTGATGTAATGTAATTCAGATAAAAATTAAATTTTAAATTAGATTTATTTTAAACACTGTTATAAAGTATATTAGATAGAGTGCAATTTTCAGAATGTTACAAATATATTTTAAAAATATCCAAATACCATTGAAAAATAAGTCATTCAAACCTACTCTTCTTTTCATCATAAAAATAAAACAATTCGATTCAGAATTCTATTCAATTCAGCAAATTAAAATGCAAGGGACAATCAAATTTAGATATACAACGAAAATTAGAATACATGCCTAAAGCATAATTTTAAATTGTTTGGAAAAATTTGTACGCATAGTTAATGAAATCACTAAGAAATCAATTTATATTGAAAGTTAAGTAATTTAGAAAAATTGGCAAACATTCTTATCAAAAGGTGCTATAAACGTCTATTAGACATATTTCAATCAAAAATAAATGTAAATTTCTGTATACAGATAATTCACCATTACAATTACAAATAAAAATGGCAGTGGAAAATAGAACGCATGTCTCAGCTATGATTTTGCATTATTAGGTAAATTTTGTATTTTTCATTAAAAATCAATAATACAACATAGAAATAAAATTTTGTATAGAAGTATAAGTAATTTAAAAGAACAGGTAAGCACTATTGTCAAATAAAGTGTTATAATCATTGATCTTATTCATTTCAGCAAAAACCGAAAGTAAATTTCAATAAATGAACAATGTAACAAATAATTGATTTCATCATAGCAATTCAAAATGCAAGAGACAGCGAAAAATAGAAATATGATAATGACCCTAAATAACTGGCTTTACAGCTAATTCCCGACATCAGTTGATTATAAAGTATCTTTGTTGTAACTAAAAAAGGGGAGCAGCGTTTTCTGAACCGTTTGTTTTGGAAACCCAGGGTAATTATCGACCGTCAATTACTCTAATGCTTCGAAAATTATTATTTTACTTTTTGGCCCACATTGCGATTTAGTGCAATTATGACAAAAGGAATCTATCATGATTTTTTATTCTGACTTTTAAAATAATGTTGAACCAGAAGAGTGCAACTTAATTATTGGAGATGATTTAAAAGAAAGAAAAACAAATAAAGTATAATTTCAAACTAAAATGCCATTTTTATCCTAACAATGGAAATGTAATTAAATTTAATAAATAATAAATTAAATTATTAATTTCATTAAAACTCATTTTTACATTTTTGACTTATATTTAATGCAAATCTGCATCTAAACAATGAGCTTAGTATCGGTAGGGACAATTTACTACATTTACATACAATTTTAGTAATAGTGATGAACGACCAAATCACTAATAGTGGAAATCTACTAAGAATTGTTAGGACAAAAGATTAATACGGTAGTTTTTACCGCTAGCACATTTAGCTAATTATACCCCATATTTTATAAGTAATATGCGTTACAACTTGCTGATTTCCCCACTTAATATAGTAAAAGAGATATAATATTATTTGCCATTTAAAAATTTATTGTTCTATGAAACCTCCTCTGATGCATTTATACATTTTTTGAGATAATTAAAAAATTTTGGACCTCAGGATAGAAAGCTGAATCAACAACCTTGAGTATTAAGAAGAAAAAAAGCAAAGTATCTAACATAAAAATTTTGCATATATAACTTGCCTATAACATTTTTAATATGGTTCTATATCACTTTTTTTTTTAATATTTTAGCAAGTAAAAATATTAAAACTGTTTCCAAATTTGTCAGATACAAAATTTATTTTATCCTCAATTGGAAATAATCATAAAATTTTTGCCACGAATTTCGTTATCAACCAATGTTTTATAACCGAAACACTGCAGGTGTTAATTTTTTACGTGTGCTAAGGTTTTTATTTCCAATAGCACATGCTTCTACATGTTTTATTTCTCACTGGCTTATATAGTTATATACGTTATTTATTCATTATTTATTTATTCATTATTTATTTATTCATCATTTATTTATTCATTATTTACTTATTCATTATTTATTTATTCATTTTTTATTTATTCATTATTTATTTATTCGTTATTTATTTATTATTTATTTATTCTTTATTTACTTATTACTTTTAAGTAGCATATGCTATGTGCTTTCAGCAATATACTTAGCTCATACAGTGAGACTTTTAACAACAAAAATTTAGTTTATTTGATATCATTCTGCAATAAAATTAGAACTAGCTACAATGTGCTTTTCACGTGCGTTCGGCACAAATAGAATTCACAATGAACATATGCTCTAATTTGATAAATATTTACGGTGAAGTTCTTTTAGTTAGTCATAGGCACAATTTTCTCATTTGATGGTCAAAATTTTAATTACTTTTATGACAGATTTTTCCCCCTGGTCCATATTACGTAATTACAAGAATTTATCGGCAACTGTTAAGCAGAAGGGAATCGATAATGGAATGGCAGTATTATTTTAATTGTCACTCTTCATATAATACTTACCATTTTCTGAAATATGCCTCAAGTCTCTATCACACTCAGCATCGGACAATTCTTGTCCATCATTAACAAATGTTTGAGCGTGAACATGTAATGGACTATAACTACCTTCATGTCCTAGTAAATCACTTGTACGCCATCTAAAAAACAGTCAGTACTTATTAATAATGATTTTATACAATAAATAATACCTGTCATGAAAATAAGAAACACAATCTTAATTGATTTATTTGATTTATAACTTAATTTGTATAATCATTGTTATCAATGAACTGTATCTTTTGTACATTTGCCAGTTGAACTTGTTGCATGTAAGTATATGATTTCTTTAATGGTATTTTAATGTAAACATTGAATGCAGATAAATTAGCCAAGGATGCCAGAAATCTCAACATTAATGACTGTAACGTGTCCGTCCAAGATGCAAATGCAATTGCTAAATCTAAACTAAGAGAAAAACTAATTCCAACGAAACACGTGATTTCTAATATAAATGCAGATAAATCCACAACAAAAACTATAGCCAGGCAGAGAACCAATCACCACAGAGGAATGGAGATCGACAGAGAGGGCAGAAAAGTATATAGGAATTGTGGAAACTGCCCAGATACGCACCATGCCACATCTTTGAGTGTCCAGCAATGAGTGCTAATCTGAGAGAAATAGGAGTCTTGCCGTCATTGATTGACCTTTATGACGATAACATCAAGTAAAACGCAGAAGCAGTAATCAAGACTCATGGAAACATTTGATTCGGCTATGTCAGAGACACGACAAAAAAAATATATGCAAACATTTTTTTGTGTTTTATTATATTTCTTATTTATTTTTTTAGGAGAAAGTTTGTATAAATTCTTATATAAATTGCAAAGTCTTTCTTAATTATAAATTTATAAGTTGTATTTTGTGATTTTATACACGTTTTGAGAATACTTATAAGAATCTTGTTGCATTTACACTGGCTTTAAATTGTTATTACGCAGATTTTATGAATTTCATCTGGCTATGTTTGGTTTCGGCATGCGCCTTTGGTGATTTTTGCAATAAAAAGATGAGTTTATGGTGAGGGAATGGCAGTTTCCAAAATGCATTTCCAAACGTTAAAAAAATCATAATCTAAATTGCTGGAATTATGAGTTTCAGCTGGTTATGTTTGGTTTTGGCATGAGCCTTTGCTGATTTTTGTAATAAAAAGATGAGTTCATGGTGAGGGAATGGATGTTTCCCAAATGCATTTCCAAACGTTAAAAAAAATCATAATCTCAATTGCTAGAATTTTTCGAAATATTAAACTATTAACCGAAGTCAAGATTCGTACTCAAACATGAAATAGGTAAAGATCAGTAATCCCAGCTACTGACCTTTACTTTTGGGAATCACTCCATATTTTGAACATTTTTAATTATTTAATTATTATAATTATTTTTTTTTGCTTCTTGCACAACTCCCCTTACCACTCAAGAACCTGATTTTTATCACTCTTCTTTCATTTGATTATTTAGTTCTAAATTGATCCTCTTACACTATTTTTAACTCACATTGTTCCTCATTGCAAATTATTTTCTTGTCTTCTTTTATCATTTTGGGTTTTGATGATGAGCAAGTTTTAATATATATAACCGGTGCCATAGTATGCTTATTGATTCATCATTTTTACTTTATTCACGTTGCTTAGCTTTATTTATTTCTATGACAAATAGTTAAAATGTATTATTGTACTTATTATTATTAAATAAATTATTGTACTTATTTTATAATAATGGTGATAAATTTAGTAAGCTACTTAAAATTAATGAAAGGAAATGTTTTAATTTTCCCTGACTAACAGATTTGATAAACTTATTATTTTCTAAAAGTATATTTAATGTGCTTTTCATGATTAATACTTTACCTTATGAAATATGAAAACTGAAAATGAGAAACGTTAAAATATGAGCTGTAAAAAAATCCTTTATTTTTTTCAGATACTCCTTTACAAACCAAAAATTCTTATATTTTGTTATCATATCCCTTTTTTGCCAAAATGAATGAATGAATAAATAAAAAACATAACTATAGATTATCATTTTCCGACTAATGGATACGAATTACACGTTCGTGTAATTAATGGTACGGGCATGACAAGAATTTTTCTTCTGCACAATTATTTGTCAAGATAAATACCAAAACTATGTTTGTCAACATCATTAATGGTCAAATTGTTTTATTTCTTAGATATTTTAGTTTCTTCATAAAACTGATTGATGATGCTGAGCAGTTTTATTTTTTGCATTTCATATAACATCTAATTTCAAATGTATGTTACTTTGATTTATTTCCAGAAATAAATGATTTCCGCTTGAAAATAAAATATGCATAAGAAATTAATGTTCATTTTTTTTTAAAGATATGTTATTACTTTTAGCTTGCTGTGGGTTCACAAAGGAAAAATAATGAATCAGATACTTCGTTAATTTATGCTCGCTTTTAAAACTCTTTGTTACAAGAAAAAAACTGAATTAATTATCATTTTCTATCTGTAACTTTGAACAAATCCACTTTGGGAAGAAAAAAACTTGTTATTTAGAATTACCTATGATTTGCTGTCCACACGTTGCCGAGAGCTAATTTTTCGTGCATAATGAAGCTATCTAAATCACAATGAATTCCCTCTTCAGTTATGCTTTGCAAAGGATGTGGCTTACTGGATTCTAAATTAAAACAAGAAAATATATGTATAAATAGCATTTCTTTTAACTTTTTTAAACTACTTGACACACTGTTAAAATTTTCTTTCAAAAATTATGGTAAAATAACTGGCAGCTGTCTGTCCATCCGATTAACCGTAAAGTTTACGGTAAATAAAATTTTTTTCCTTTATGGTTTTGAAATCATTTTCAAGAAGTATGGTTATAAAACCATGAATGCAAAACTAGACGGTTTTTTATCCATTTACAACTACTAATATTATTCAAAAAAGTAAAAAAAAGAAAAATTATTTTACTAGACATAGGAGCTCGGCTTTTCGTAAGGTAATGGTCATTGGAGAGTGCTGGACACTGGAAATTCTTCATTTGTTGAAGGGAAGGGAGGAAACATTGTGGTGTCAACACTAGGACTCGAACTCCAGTTCTGCCGGTCATGAGATTAACAGATAAGCCCGCTTGGCTATGATATGTACACAATTTCAAAGAACTAAGTAGCTTCATTAGGTGGTTCTAGCTGGTGAGATAAAACTCTGGTTGTTTAACCGTATTAAGTGAAAGAAGTTAATAAATAATCTTTCTCGAACTTAACAGTTTGATTACCGTTTCATTTATGGTTATTTGACAGTTTTGATTAAATATGGTAAAATAACCATTCAATAAATTGTTATTAAACCATTTTTTCAAGAAATTTCTAACAATGCACGCTAATATCAAATTAAATTTAAAAAAATAAGAAAATAAAGCGAATAAGCAAAATTAATACCGTTAGCAAAATCGTTCATAAAAGTTAACTAAACTCTAAAAATGAAATGTTATGATAAACATTTATTTCAAAGTAAATATAAATATCTTATGATTTAGCTAAATTAATCAATCAGTATTTTAAAAAATGTGCATTCTTATGCACTCCTTTCTCTCATTTTGATGCATAAAAATATAAGGAAGAATTGAAATATCGCATTTCATAAAAATATATAAGCAAAGTATGGTTCATAAACTTTTTACTAGGACATTTTAGCCATCAAGTATGATTAATAGTTTAAATTAAAAACAATTTCTGTAATGAAGCTTCTTAGAAAAATATCCTTAACTGGAAAAAGTAACAATAGAAAAATTGTTAATCAGAAAATACCCTCAGAGAAATTTTTATTAGAAAAATGTAATCTAAAATTGAACAATTGTTTTGATAATTTAACTTCACTTTAAAAAATCTAGTGTTTAAAATTTAAAATAGTGATATCATATAGATGATAAGTCACGTTTACGTAAAGCATCATAGAATATATCATTTGCATATGAAACCCGAAATAATATATTCTAACAGAATAAATGAAATGAATATTTAAATTCATGTTAATTAAAAAGAATAGGTAATTAAATTTTAAATTTAAAAGAAATATTCGAAATAAATTAATAACTTGCGTAAAACAATCATTGGTTAAAAACAATCAGCTTCTCTACTTAAAGTAACATTTTGAGCTAAAAGGACGTTAATAAAATCTGATTTTAATAATAATTTAACGATAGAAATACAGGGAAGGAGAACTAATTATGATGATACTTTATAAGAGCATTTATAGCAGAATATGGCTTATAAGCTTATATTTCTCGACTTACTGAAGCTCAGTAGAAAAATAGGACAGAACATATTCAAATAAAAAAATTAGAAGAAAAATGGAAGTTTTAGAAGCTGTGTTCTTATAAATGATTATCCTAATAAAGTATTATAAAATGAAACACTAATTTCTATAATCTAAAGTAATTTAAAATCAAAACTCTTTAGGTAAATAAATATTCAATGTTTTAACTTATAAATGTATGTTAAAATGGTGAAATAGTGATTAAATTATGATATCATCGTTTGTAACATATGATAGCTGTCAAATATATCATTTGCTTATGCAACTAAATGTGATGCATTTGACAGTATAAATGAAAATGCATCGTTTAATGCATCAATGCATATTAATTCTTAAAAAAAAAATCGTGATTTGCTGCAAATTAAAGTAAATGCTCTGCTTAATCAAATTAACTTCTCAGAACCACTATCAGTTAGGAAAAGCAGTTTTTGTATCCAAAGTACTCTGCATCTTCGGATCAAGTTGCGGTGTATAGTACTAGTACGTTGGGTGCATCAACCGTAAAATCCATTTCACAGAAAAATTCATTTTTCTGTGAAATATTACACTTCAATTTACTTAATTAGAGTAATTCAGTAATCTTATGTTAAGTATTACTATAAAAATTATTGTCTATCAGATTTTTTGTTCCGTAACGTGCGTAACGCCAAAAATACAGACACCCTGAGTGCCGGTGCTTTTTACCGAAATTTAATCTTGAATTTTTTGCGGTGTAGGAATTTAGCTGGCACACATGTTAATCAGAATGTCTCATTTTACTTTATATAATTTCGACTATATATATATATNATTTTTTTAAATATATATATATATATATATAAATGAATACAATAATATATAAATGCATATTACTTTGAAGACAAAAATTAATGATCTGCTGAAATTAAAGGAAATATTCCGATTAATTAAATAAACCTCCTAAAATCACTATTAGTTAAGGAAACGCAGCTTCTTCGTCTAAAGTTTCGCTTTAACTTTCATGAAAGTAAATCAGAAACTTATTTAATTTGAGTCTTTTAGATAAACCCTTACAGCTGGCGATTTAAATTAACCAATCAGAGTATATCTAACTGAGCTTATTTCATAGAACTACATAGAAAGCTAACAAAATGCAGTGAAAGAACGATATTTGCAGTTCTTTATTTAAGAACTGCATAGTCTGTTTAACCTGTAACAAAATTTGTGATGAAACAAAGACGAAGACTTTCAAGGTTTAATTAAATTCAGACCCTTCAGAAAATGCACACTCCAGGCTGTTTCCGCAGGATTTAATTACGAACGGGAATGCCGCTCATCATGTCTTCCTACCTTTCATTTCGGACGAACAACGAAGCTCCAATGTTGTTTCTTTTACGAAAAAGGTCTCATTTGAACAGCATTAGTCGATTTTAATTAAATTATGAATATCTTAGATGAAACTATTACTAATATTATATATTAAATATTTAACTTGCAATGAAATCTTTCAATTTCATTAAAATAATTCGTTTCATTTCACAGAGGAAAATCAAAAAAAAATAAACAAATTCTTTAACATGAAGGAATGTAAATATATTTTCTTATTAGGTGTTCAAATATTTGTAAAGCATTCTCTCTTGTGGCAACAGAAGCAAAATTTCTTTGGGATGCAAACTGATTAATTGATCTTCTAAGAAATTGGAAATGGAATGTTTATTATTTATTATTCGAACAAAATAAATAATGGTTGACTTTGTATTATCAATTCTCAATTCATTTAATCTCAAAAATAGTATTATAAATGTATCAAATTAATTGCGACACTATATTTTGTATTATTTCTTCACTAACTATTTAAATATTCATTGATTATAAATAATGCCATATTGTAAGTTTAATTGTATATATTGTTTATTCATGCAACCTCCTGAAGTGAAATCGAGTAGCTAAATTAACTGATATCAACTGATAGCACTGAAAGCATACAAACAAAGGAACAAAATGCTTACATAAACTGATCACCATTCAAACAAAAACATGTTTTGTTAATATGATAAATTCTACTCAATTTTATGATACTTGAAAACTTTCCCCAAACTAATAAATCTAACTAAATATCATGTAAATAGATTAAACTATGGTAATCAATAATATAACTTGTAAGAGCAAACAAATTTTACAGAGCTTATCAGATTAACCAATAAATGTTGTCAATTATTTGACTTTAAATAGGTCACAATAACACATTAAATTTAAATAATTTTTAAAATATTGATCCTATTGTTTAAATTAATGGCACGAGTAAAAATTCTAATGCACTAAATATCATGCACACTCATAAAAAAGCTTAATTTAAAAGTAAACGTGCGAAAAATTTTTATAACCTTTCTCAATTCTTACTTATAAAAAGTATGGTAAATGCAGTAAGCCTGACTCATTTTATATTAAATAAAACAAGCTACTGAAGTACATTTATATGATAAAAAAAATTGATAATGAATGTACTAATTTATTTAAAAAAAATTTATTTCAAGCCTCTTTACTGTGAAATTACTGTGAATTTTCTGTACTAAATATACTCATTTCCAACATTCGTAGAATTTTTAGAACTACGCGATATTAAACATGTTAAAGTTTTTTTTTTGTTAAACAATTTTTCTGTTCATTTTGTCGTTTATATTTATAGTTTATATTTTTTTATCGTTTTAGTCGATAGTTTATAGTTATGTAATAGCTATAGTACTATAGTATATTTAGAGTTAGTTTAGTATAGTGTAGTTATAGTTAGATTACAATTATAGTATATTATAGTTTTTTTGTTAGCCCATTTTTCTGTTGATTTTGTTCATTTTATTTAAGTATAAAGCAAGAAATCCGAATGACTGGGATTAGTTAGCAATATAGAAACGTATGTGTAGTAGCAATATTTTTTTTAAAATTTATATCAGATCGCATTGTAAGGCCAACAAGTACTCAGTAAAAAATTCTGAATTAAATCCTTCTTCACCGATATATGCTGAGAAACAATAACTCTGATATATCATAATTTTTAAAATAATAATTATCGTAAAATCACTGAATCATTTAAATAAATAAATACTGTGAAAAGTTACAGTATAATAATTTTAGGTAAAAATAAATTTCACAGTAAAATTATTTTGCGGATTATGCATCCAATATGATGGTATTTTATAGTGTTATTTAATCGGGGATTTTTTGAAGTGCAGATACATTTCTCAAACACAGCCTGCTACTTGGGATCTTCAATAGGATTTACATTCTATACATTTACATGTTATATTTATTTTCAATTTCCTGGAGCTCAACCGATTTTATTCAGTCTTTTATTTTTATTTATTTATATTTATGCACTTCAAAGGGATAAAATAGTGACGCATTTTACGTTCAAAATTTTATTCGCTTCCTCAAACTTTTATTTTCTGGAAATATTTGCATCGATTTCGGAGAACTAATTATAGTACTAAAATAAAATTTCTGATTATACAAAAAGTTGACTATATTATTTCCGGCTTCTCCATTTATTCGAAAATACTTTCTTTCTTAACTATTAGAAAATAAATAAAAATAAGCTTACATTATTCCTTTAAGAGTTTATGGTTTTAACTATCAGAAAAAAAATGTAAAATGACGATTTTAAATTTATAAATTTTACGGTTACAAAACATATTTAAAAACATGAAAACGCAAGTATTAAAAGAAAAACATTTTAACATTTATTAGTGCTTTTCACGTTTTTTTCAACACTGTAAAATATACGAAATCAAATTGCGGTAAAAAGTACTGGCAGCTGCAGTAAAATATATTTTACCGTAAAATCCATTTTTATCGTAAAATCTACTTTTAATGTAAAATATTTTACCGTAATTTTTTTAATTGATTTAATATTTATTTAATTCAATGCTTCAAATATTTTACGATAATTATTAATCTAAAAATTATGATATATCAGATTTGTTGGTTCTTCAAAAAAAATAAATACGGTAAAAAGTACTAGCACCTTGAGTGCTAATGCAACATACCCTAATTTTATCTGGAATTTCTTAAAGTGTAAACTTTATTTATTGCAGCACATAAATAATCTTCCTTTTTACTAAAAATAAGTAAAATATGAATTCATTCCAAACTTTTAGTTTCTCTGAATTATTTATTGTTTCTGCCTTAGCAAAATATAAAAAATTAAACTAAATAGAACAATTAAACCATCTTAGTTTAACAATACAAAAACAGGAAATACTCGAGGAATATATTTCTCTACAAAATGCAGCGAAATTGCATTTTAATTCAAGAATCGAAATTCACCATTTATCTTATTTTCGTATTTAATATTAAATATACCATGCACAATTTCATTAAGTATTTTTCACTAATGAACAGCAACCAAATGAAATCTTAAATTCATCTCTATCCAACACGTGATACACTATTTTCAGGCGCAGCATTGCATCCACACTCAAAATGCCCATTAAAACACAACAACGCAAAGTGCCTCCAGAGGCTACTTCCCATCACAACAGCGGAATGTCCAAAACATGTCGCATACCAGTCCAGTAATTAATCGCTCGGTCCTTGAATTAAAACGCTGCCCGAGGACTCTTCCTACCACTCCAGCACACTCCCTTCCTCAAACAAATTCAGCAACTATTTTCAAGAGAAATTCTTACATAATAGCTTTAGCATGGAAGCTGACATGGACAGATACGATATGTAAAGGAGATAGCATCCATCTTTCATCTGCCGTTTTCGATACTGTGCAGGACACTGTGTATTCAAGCGTAAAGGACGCTTTGAAATTTTAGGACCTATTTGGGCGAAATCCCTTCAGTGCTATTGCGATCGCTGCAAAGAGGATTTTGGTTCAAAGCTTTATTTGTCGATCGAATAGAGTTTCAAAGATTCCATTTGCAGCTGGATTTTCTGAAATTATGAAGTGAACGTTATTGAAAATGGTACTGAAAATGGCCAATAGGAGAGTTTGAATCAATCAAAAGAGAAAAAAATGGTTGGGGATTACTAATAATACTTTAGATTGTTGTATAAAGTGTATTTTTAGCAGCTTTTAAAAACTATTTCCTATTATTCAAATGCTGAATTGCATTAAAGATTTTGGAAAAATAACAATGGAATTTCATTAATTATCTATAGTTAAATGTTTTTATTGTCATTAGAGTATAGTTAACTAAAAATAATTTTCAGCTAAAATAAAAGTAGTTTTGAACCGAAATAAAACTAAGGTCCTCGATAAGTCAGAAAGTGACTTAAGAATCAAAATCAAAAGGGAATTTTTAACTGATGTGTGAAAATTTAATTACTAAAGTTTCAGTTTGTAAGTTATATTATTTACTATTCCAATTTCGTGCAGTTTTAAAAAAGATTACAAATTTAATGTATGAAACAATAATCCTAAAATGTACCAATATTTTTTTAAAAACATTCGTAGAAAACCATCGAAATTTAAGGACCTATTTCAGCACAATCTTTTTAGTGCAAATTGCGAGAGCATGGAAGAAAATGTTGCTTTAAAGCTTTATTTCTCTATCGAACAGAGCTACAGATATTCCATTAACTTCTGAATTTTTCTGCAATTAAGAAGTGATTTAAGAAACAAATCTTTGAAAATGACCAATAGAAAACTAGCTTTTAAATATAACAATTATTCTTACTAATACAGCAAAACATTTCGTTAGAATGATCAATGATATTCTTTTTTGATGTTTGATTACTTAAGTTTTTAAAGTATATGATTGTTAATTTATATTTGAGCTTTTATAATTTCTAAAAACTGTAATTGGAAAGTCTGAAAATAAATCTCGGCTATTTTGTATCCAATATTGGCCAGATTAAATTCAGTTTTCTTTCACCTAATATTATTTTTTTATTTTACATTAATTTAAAATTAATTCCAAATATCAGTCTGGTGCTAGAGTTTTTAAAGTTTTTTTTTAATCGTAGCAGATAACAGTTCAAATAGAAAATTCAATCAAACAAAATGTTTCTTTTTTTTACTGTAATAAGCGAAAACTATGTTGGTAATAAAATCTACTCTGACTTGTTTAATAACTTGTTTAATAATAATTTTAAACTTATTTCTAATAATCAAAGCTATTCTTCTGTTTCAAATTTAATTTAAATAACTTAGCCTTAGCTAAGTCTCTCAGGAACTTATAATTTAATTATATTTAATATTCTAAATTAATACGTATTTTCATCTAAATATCTAGCATAACTTATTTGTTTAATTTTATGGTATTAACAGTACTTTTCTGAAAAGGCGAATGTACTGAGCTAATTATAGTTAATTAGATCAAATACTACTCACCATAATCTCTTATTTCTATCGTTCCATCTTGTACTGCAGGCATATGATAACTATGTCTGCGCTGTTAATATATAACAATATTATTAATTATTACAACAGTAAATATTGTATAACTTAATATGAACCTTATTTGAAACAAATTATTACATTACGAAAAGTTATTATATGAATTCCAGGAAAGTACAATGTAAACACTCAATCTAAATGATAAATTGAGACAGCATAATAATACTTACCATATCGTCTCTCATTTGCTGAGGAATGTCATACATGTGATCATTCTGTCTGTTGCTATGGTGATGTAAGCTTCTACATCCATCTCTTTCCATGCCGACATCATCTCTGTGTAAACCTGGTACTCGACTTGTAGCATACGGTGCAGGAAAGTAAACAGATTCTCTATTTTGTTCGTATGTTTTCTCTAAATCAGCCATTGCTAATGCGTCGCTTTTACCATCTTCGTTTCCTCTGACTCCTGAGGTTATAGATAAGAAGTATCGTGTTGTTATTAAATGTATATACCATTAAATTGATTGAATGTGATGTCATGGTTTCAAATATTTATAACTAAAAATAGTTTTTTTTTTTCATTCTAGCATTTCACTTTTATCATTTTATCACATTAAATTGTTTTAAAAATACTAGTTTCAAACACAATTTTATAAAAGTAAAATAGGCAAAACCGACTTCGTTATAACCTTAATTTACGCAAAATGAACATTGAATTTTTAACTTTTCTTCAATAGTATTTGTGTAGGTCTGCGTTTTGTTTTTAAACTGGTGCAATATATTATTGCTAAATAAAAATTTAAAAAAATGATAATAAATGAAAAAAATAATGCGTCGTACAATTCAAAATAATTTAACGTAATAATTTAACAAAATAATTTCTTCAATCGAGGATGGAAGTCAAAGTGTTATTCTAAAAGTTCTTTTAACGTATTTTTTATTTAATTTGAACAGAAAGATATTATTTGTACATAATTCAAAAACTTAACTACGGAAAAATTCTGGACTAAATTACGGCAAAAATTGACAGCAATTTATTACCGTAAATCCATTTTTACAGGAACAGGTTACGGTACAAAAAATCTGATACACCATAATTTTTGCAGCAATAATTACCGTGAAATCACTGAATTACTCTAATAAAATTAATAATATTGTAAAAATCACAGTATAATATTTTACGTTAACAATGGATGTTACGATAAGATTGATTTTACGGATGATGCTCCCCAAGTCCCTGTACTTTATACCGTAATTCTTTATAATGTGAATTTTTTTTTCTGAAGTCACGTAGCATTTTTTCTACTAGCCTTGATTTCTGTCTAGGAAAGCGAGAATTAATATACACGCCCATGTCTTTCAAAGTGGTCAAGAAAGAGGTCCCTTTAAGAATTAAAATATCTCTAAAAAGTTAACTCCAAAAAGCTTTGTACATGCTTAAACGAATGTGCAAAAACTTTATTAAGAAATTGTGTAATCACAATTTCTTAATAGTAAAAAAACATATATTTTATTGATACATACAACTGTAAGAAAATCAATTTCAGAAGCCATCAATCAGAAGCAATTTTAAATAAAGCTGCTGTTTAGACTTGCTTAGGTAGCCATTTACCATAGCAAAACAAATTTCGCTCACGTATATAATACTAAATTTGATGAAATCTCAAATTATCTATGCTATAACGTTGTATGCAAGTCTATGTGGTAATTTTAAGCATTATTTTTTTTAAAAAAAAAATAAACATAATACTTTATGATTTGTGAACAGAAGTCTTTATTTTCCTGTCACATTTTTAATGTATTTCGGCAAATCTTGATCATCTACAACATGAAGTATTGAATTAATTTTATTTCAAGTAAATCAATGTTCACTAAGAAAAAAATATGTTTAAAACTACCAGATGAAATTTTCCGTATTTTTGTCCATTAGAACAACAAAAAGTGGGTACTTTTTTACCGAAGTGCTTTGGAATTGATTTTTGCAAAATTAAGAATAAAATATGGTTTTATATTATATGTGATAAAATTTCTCAAATTCAGTAAAATTTGGTAATTTTATGATGATACTTTGAAGCTTGTCACAAAAAAAATTCATTCGGTTAAGTTTACTTTTCAGTTTTGGATTTTTTACTAAATGCGTGGTAATAAGAGAAATAATTTTGAGGATCATAATTTCCGGTAAACCGTTACCATATCAACGGAAAAATTACCAAATGAATGGTTTGAATATCGTATATTATGATTTTATTACTCAGAAGTATGCTTTTGTCTGCCACAAATGTCTTAACTCTTCACAGTATTTTTAACTTTTCTTTAATCTGTGTGTGATCTCAGAATTTATAATATTAATTTAACAAAGTGAATAATTGTTAAAAATTCATCTTCTAAACTTTAGATAAAAATACTAATGCTAATTACATATTCAACATTCCTTTTTGAAATAGTTCTTATCATTTCCATTTAAAAAAATTCATTTTTAACTTTGAAAGTTCTGAAAATGCATCTATCTTTTGATTCTTAAGAATACATTTTCTTTACTTATTATTCTGACGCTCAAATTTCTGAATGAAAAATCTCCCAACCATTTCCAACAAACCTACATTCTATGTTCTTAACAAGTGAACTTCTTTTCTTATCTACAATTATTCTCCTAATAACGTATCCAACTATTATAAAAGAAAATTACATTACAACAAATGAAACTTTCACAATCCCTAATATTTATTCCCACACTTCCTACGATGTGATAAGGCTCAATTTGAACTGCACTTCTTTTTCTCTTTAAGTCCTAGAGGCTATTTTCTCTTCTTATAGCATGTCCAGGCTAAAGCTTTCGAAATCTGAGCCCCGGATTTCGATATCTTTACGAGTATGGATTGGAGTATATATACTTAGTCAGGCTGAGTAAAGAAAATGATCTATATTATCTATTTCTTTTTCCTACCATTTTCTCTGCCATCTCTCACTCAAATCAAATAAACGGCTAAGTCAATAAACATTTCAGATCTCGCCAAGTTTGGCTGGATCGATGGCCCTCAAAGCTATCATCCTTATAAAAACTCATTTGGATCGATAACAAAGAAGAGATTTTTTACATTATATTTTATCCTCTTCTTCTTCTTTCATCCTTTCAATTTCTTCCCAGTAAAAGAAGTAGGATAAAAGTGTTGAATTGAATAATGGTTTTAAACCTCACACATGCTCTGATGGGAAGCTAATTTATTTTTGAAGCGAAAAACGAAAATATCTTTCTTTCCTGAAACTATAAATATAATTATCATCTTCAAAATGCGTGTTTCTCCATTTCTCAAGAAATCTTTTCCTTCCTCTAACGGCTGTAGTGGTGCGAGAAATTGGAAAAGATTTGATTTGTGCAGGAGATAAAACTTGTGCTCGGTCGGAAAGATTTTCAATCTATGATAAAAAGTGAAATACAAAAAGTATTGCTTCTTAAATCTGCAGGAGATGAGCAGATAGATATAGTCGGGATTTGCTTCATTAAAAAAAAATGAAATTGTGTTTTTATTTCGGCTCCGAACATTATCACAGCTTTGATATTGGTCCGTCATTTTGATAAGGCTTTCGAAGTATCGGAAAACGGTTCCTTTAACGTAATTTTCTGTTCATCGCTTTGTACCTAACGTTATTTATTGAGAAATCAGCGATTCTTTTTGGGCTTAAAAAATTTCAACTGGCTGTTTCTTTTATTAATGCTAATTTAATTCTAAGAAAATTTTGCTTCGAATATTAATTTTCTTACATTTTGAGTAATATTGGGGGGGGGGAAATTTCTGTTACATATGACTTTTTAACAGTTGACTTTTTAACAATTTCTGTTACATATGACTTATATACATTCGCATTGCTGATTTCAAATTCGCATTCGGTTTCTCTCTTTAAGTTACAATTTTTAAATGACATATTTTTTGTCAATTTTGTGTTGAAATGCACAAATTTAAAAACATTATACGACTTCGCGTCCAGGTCGTTGGGCTACCGAAGCGGAGGTGCCATCCCCTCTGCAGAGAACCAAAATTGTGATGGCATGTCTTCGGATCATCCTCAGGGATGTTTCCCAGACCGTCGCCAATAGCCCATTGTGCAGCTCTAGTGCGACGTAAATGAACTACAACAACATTATATATAAGAAGGGTTCGCATAGCAGAGTTAACGCACATCATCTCGATTAAAATTGCATTAGAACCCAAGCACGAATTGCACGAACCCAAGCAAACCCAAGCAAATATGTCATTATACTTCACTATTCCGTATTATGAACAGTAGTTTCGTGTTGCTTCTGAACAGGTCACAGCGCCTCTAATGAAGGGGAATAAGGAAGCGTCCCTAGCCTTTTCCTGGGCTGTCCTATTCGCCCCTAGACATTTCCAAGCATGGGTTCCAAACAATTTTAATCCTGATGACGTGTCCCAACTCCCCTAGAAGTCTTTTATAATATTTACGAAATCCCCTGTAATATATAACGTTTTTGAACCTGTACATTTCGTGAAAAAATTTACTATACGCGTCATGTTAAAAAATATATATATTAACTTTTTGAGTAAAACTAATTTCCGGTTCAAAGTCCCTACAAGGAAATTAGGCAAGATCAAATATTTGTATGAATTTGAACCCATTGTTCTTCATAGTAAAATATAATTAATGACATTTCATATTTTTTTTCATAAATATTTAGTTCGAAATGCATATTTGAAATAGGATGAAAAATGAAGAAAAGGGACATTTGAAAATTACCAAAAGAATGGTTTAAACACCGTATGTTTTGGTTTTTAATAACCGAATTATGATTTTTAATTTACCAGAAATTTCACTATCATAAAGTACTGTACTTTTAGTAGAATTTTTTTCTCCGCGTATGACTTCATTTTGAAATTTTGAGAATTTATTGGAAAATATACTAAAAAATTTTAAAAAAAGTGAAAAATATTTATGATATTTCAATGATATTATTGTTTGATATTCATGAATACTTTGCTATTTTTTCTTTTTAATTGGTGAAGGTTCAAATTAAATATTGTGTGTTTTTTTTTAATATGAATTTATTTTTTATACGATTTATCATTTTTAAGAATTCATCAATTTTTTTTACTTGGAATTACAATTTCAAATAGGGTTGGATACAAAATATTTGAGAGGATTAAATTTCAGTAGTTAAATAAGGGTTAAATTGTATAAAATATAATTTCTACTTAGCAATTCAACATTTTTTTTGTAATACATTTAATTTCTTAAAAAACCTTTTTTCTATGGCAATTCAGCAGAAACTAATTAAAATAATGAATTTGTTTAATTTGAACTTGCCACTCTAAAACTTTTATAACGTTAGAAAAAAATAACTCTGTTTAATCTGACTAATCCTAATCTGAATTGCTGGTGTAAAAGTGTACACCATTTTAATTTAGTTCTTAAAAGGGATGAAACCTGCTTTATTATTCGAAACTTTAATTG